GCACTTGCTTGCGCGGTAGGTTGTTGACTCCTCGGCGATGTGGTTTAGAGCATGGTGAGCCACCACAAAGGGCGCTGACGGTCGCCATGTGTGCCAAAGGACTTCACGGTTTGGATAAATCCATGAGTACCCATGTGAAATGGGAAACGCCTGGGACCGGGTGCAGATGTTGAAAGCATCGACAGGTAAGGCATGGGTACGAGTAAAAAATTGCGAACAATCGGGAGATACGTTGATAAATAAAACATAGTGGCACTGCCCTGGTTTATTTGGTCTTTATTAGCTCCATGCACACTATACTTCTGCAATTATCAACTCAATAGAAAATGTTTGGGTGCAAATTTCCCCAAAACTATTCCGTAGTAAAACATGATTTGCTTTAAACAACTTCAAACGGGTGGATAACGGATGGTAATTGAGTGTAGTAAGTAAAGGAGGGTCCCACCCGGGTGTGTGTCGTTGGTGCTTTACGACGTAGTTAGCTGCTGCGACTATGTGGCGCCTCCTGCCTCTCCCCTGACAGGAAGGGCAGGCATCGCGTAGAAAATGTCCCCGGTGAAGACCTCCAATGCACTGTAAGTAAGTGTAAAGAGCCCTTTTGCCAATAAAAAGCTTAAAACAATATGTGTGCTGTTGTTCGACTGATCACCAGCTGAATCATCTCCGACTCGAACTGACAGCAACACTAATCCCGACAACAAGTTACGGCACGATGTGCTGTGATAACGACTCCATCAGCGACTTTCGGATTGCAATTAATAAAAGCAGACACAATAAGCTCGTGATAAACTCCGTCTCCTTTAAGTTAACGATCGCAAACTAACAAATTAATGTTGTGGAGATGGTAGCATCATGCAACTTATCAGTGCAACATTTCCTATAATTTCAGTTAATGATCATCTCTACGTGGCTAAATTGAGATAAGCTACTGATCCCCCCCCCCCTACCGCACCCCTCCTCCCTCGAATGGCGCATAACTCTGGAAGCAGACCGTTCTCTGCGGCGCGCGCTGTCTCTAGAACGCCACCCGGGCCCGGAAAAGTATTCTGCTGCACGTGCTTGACACAGTCTCACATCCTCGTTCACCGCTATGGCCTGGTTTGGTCCCAGCCGGCTGGAACCAGTCTGATGCATAGGCAAGTTGAACTATGCGCGGCTTGTGACAACAGCGCCGAGCGCTGGTCCTCCGGGCAGAGCTGCAGAATTTGAACACGCCGCCGGTGCCCGGCCTGGTTCGCCCAATGCGAGGCTCTGGCGCCGCGGGACTCGGGATGACCCGCTGTTGCGGCGTAGTGTCCAACGGAGTTTTGTTCCGCTGGTGACACAGAGCGGCACGGCACGTTACTATCCCGAAGTCGCAGCGATGTGGGGCACCAGTATGTGGTCAGCTTTGCATGTATTATAGGTCAGTCGGGGCTGGCTCAGGGTTTGCTTTCCTCCAGGCGAGGCCTTTCTTCGTTAGCGTCAGGCGACCGTCCTCTGTGGCTGGCTCTGGGAGATGTGGAAGCCCAGCCACGAATTCCAAGCACCTTGGCTGCTGCTGTAATTTCATGGCCAGTGGTATACCCAAGTGTTATCTGAATAATTTATACTCTTCGCGTCGTGGATGAGATCGTCAACATGTTTCCAGTTGAAGTGTTGTGATGAGTTTATTATAATGAGACCTTTCACTCGCGTCCCACCTATTCATTACCAACCCTCTGAAAAAGAAAGTGCCATACTGGGGAGATTAAACTCATTTCCGACATTCAGAACACCACACCTTTGTTTTGATTTAGTGGTGTTTCCTTTGGTTATGGTGCACAGCTAATTTAGATATTTAAATTTGGCTTGTGGCTCTTTCTTGACCTCATGTCTATACGTCTATATGTCTTAATGTAGAGTAAGCCCGCCAAAACTTTGATGAAGTTCGTAGGATCACACAGACGTCTCACAAGGACGGGGAAATATCACTCGAAAGATATCATTCTAAGCTCACTTTTTCCATCGCATAAGTGTTTGCACGCACACTGGGCTGACAAACTGTCAACGCTGAGGGTGTCACGCATCGCCCGGGAAGACAGGCAATGTGCCCGTCACGTTTGATGGACCACACTCCTGACAATCAATGACCGACTTATGGCAGCGCTCGCTCCATCACCCTTGCACCGAAGCGCCGCCAACAGCTCTGTCCGAGATCGGTCACGTGACTATTCCGGCACCGCTCAGGAAGCTGATTATTTCGTCTGGAAGGCTGCGGCTAAGGCCAAACGAGCCGCGGCCAGAGCCGTTGTCTCACACGAACGAACGCCAAGCACACCGTACCGCGTTTGGGCCGCTTTGAATGGAATGTCGCGATTCATAGGCTGACAAAAACAATGGGCATTGTCTTTAAGGCTTGAGGACGAATACTTTTTTGTTGTTGTTGTTGAGTGGTGTGTGAAATCGCCTAGCATCTCGCATCATCAGGTATGTGTTCAGAATTATGTTTAGTCTGGACAAAGTTTTGGAGAGAGTGAACAGGAGAAGTGACTGACATCACGGAAAACCATCTTCCAGGGACGATGAACGCCAATTCTTCTGCTGGTGATGGCTGACAAAGATGGGTATTTTTTGGCAAAAGTGTCATGCCTTTCTCTTTTAATTAAGCTGCAGTAATGCTTTCAACGCTCCTCGTCTAAGTGGACGTTATCGCAACATATCAACATGTCGTCGGAGCAGTTAGTGGCCTGCTTACATGAGCAAGGCATTACGTTTGATTGCGAGCTTTACATCGAAGAGTATGTCATCAGTTATGGCGGTCTCTTTTTTGTCCCCAAAAATATGTCATGGGTACAATGTAAAGTACACTAACAAACGAATGCAATTTGTGATGTGGTATGCTGTTTTCATTTAGAAGCATCTTATGCAATTTAATCGGTGCCGAAATGCACAAGACATCATTTTAATGACTTAACACGCGCCCGGGTGGTCGGCTAAACACCCTTCGCTCGGGTGGGGTTAATTTAAGCCCCCTGATATCTCGGAAACTAAGAAGGCTAAAGACACTAAATTTACAGGGTGTAATGACCTGTGCGTGAACTCACTTAGATCAAAAGTTTGAGTTCCCCAGGTCACGACCTTCGGATCAAATAAGGTCAAGGCCAAATGCCAGGCTGGTCTTCAAAATGCCCCTAGAACATAAATAACTCTCTAAGCAAAAGGTAACATACCCATTTAAGGTCAGGGACCTTTTTTGACCTTTGAAATGTCGTGGTTACCAAAATCATACAAGACTGCTCTGAGTTTTGCGGTTGAATAAGCGACAAAGATTACGTTAAGCAGTATGTTTCTAAAAGCAAAATGTTGACCTCGATCATTTTAGGTCAATGGTCTATTCTGACCTCTAAGATGTCCATGGAAAATGTATGATGCGGTTCCTGCTATCAATAAATTTGAAATGAGCACCAGAAACTATCCCATACAGCAAGCCCTAGAGTAACAAGGCAACTTGGCTTTGAACTTGGTCTAGCCTTCATTCCTGACCTTGGTTCAACGTAATTTACTTATTCAATATTTGTGCGGCCTAAGAAAGCATCTCAGAGATGTATGGCTCTGTCACACATTCCGTTGTTGCATCAGATTGAACGATTCCCTAGAAGTTGACTTCGCTGAAACCATGGTCTGACTTTGACCTGCCGTAGGTCAGCGAAGTTGCAATAAATATATAAATTTTTGATGTCAAACGATTTATCACTCAATTATCTACAGTTGTGTAAAATATGGCGTGGCTACGCCGCACCGTTCAGAAACCATTCCGGAAAACATTCGAGGGGGGGGGTCAATTTGACCCCCACCCGGTCACGAGTTAATCCTTCAAACAGGAAGCGAAGACGTGTGTTGTTGCCAAAACAGCCTGTGCATGCATGCGTTTGTGTTCTACATGCACCATACTTTTGAAAACCAAATGAAGACGCGTTCCCGTTGTGCTGAGGCACGCCATGGCAATCAGATAATTGACAGCTGTCATTATCTTGCAAACAACATCAGTCATCGACGTGCACGAGTGTTTCGATTTTGCGACGAATGATGTCAAATCGCTGTGCCATTAGCTTTAGGGCAATGGCTAGTCTAATTCAAATGGAGAGCACTCAGATCTTATACAGATCCACAAGCAATGCATGCGCGTAAGCGTTTCCAATCTGCATGATTCAAAAATCATAACATTGACGTCTAATCTAGCACGCAAATTGTCAATTTTCAGAGACCAAGCTGAATGTATGTCCATATTTGCAGTCAGGTTGTAGTGGAAGTGAAATATATCACACACCCGTGGCTGCAAATTCATGTCATTGTTGCTCACCCCGGCATTGTACTCACGTCGAAACTGTTAGGCCCCTTCGCGCAAGCCAGTGTTGGAAGTCGTGACCCAGCTGCGTCACGCAGGCCTCGTGACCCCGATAAGACGGAGGCCTTACCCCACACGACAGAGGGGGCTGCGTGACCTGCGTGCCCTGTGACGGACCTGTCGCCCCAAGGCTTCCGGCTCAGTATCCGCCTTCACGACAGCGCGACAACCGAGGACGCTGTTCACTATGGCACGCTGCAGCGAAAGGAAGCTCACTTGGGCTGGTCCGGGTGATGAACAACAGAACACGGGGCCTACGCACCACGCTGCCAGGGACGTGCATTATTTCGACCTTGAGTCCATACATTTATTTAATATTGCGTTCGTGCTTCCCACCATGTAGAATTTGTTCCGTCATAGCATTTTCTTCATCCATTATCAGCTGAAAAGCTCGTGGCAGGCAGCACTAAGATCGGTGAATATAAGGAGGTGGACATGACGTCATAAAAGCAATGTCGAGTGTGCACGTGCACGCATATGGAGAGTCGTAGCGGCTGCACGCGGCGCTTCCGGGCCGACTTGACAAGAAGCTTCCGCTCAGGTCACCATCAGGCGAGTGATGGCTGCCGGGCTCGGTCACGAGTTCAAGAGATCCCCTAGGCGCTGACCTGAGAGCCTGCGGCGCGGTGACTAGCTGTTCGCGCCGATGCTTGCCTGGATTCCGGAAGTTGCGATGGCTGTTCCTGTGAATGTGTAGGTGTGCATGCAGATGTGGTATGGCTGTACGCATGCATCGTTATGGCTATCTCGCAAAGGTAAGAGTACTGAAGCTATCTTTTTACTGACTATTGCTGGGCCAGTTGATGTCTGCGCTTTGTGGCCGCTTTATTCATCTGCAAACAGCTACGACCTGTTCTTTGAGCTATCCCAGCCAGAAAAGTCCGAGTGACCCATCTGAACAGCGTACAGCTACGCTACTGGCGTACACAGAGCATGGCGACTCCCTGGCGTCACGTCTACGGCTCTTCTACACATCCGTGACTACATAAAGATCGCGACGATTTGGAGCTTGTAATAGCCAGCAACAGGTCGATTACAATCGCAAAGTTAAGCCTCTTTGATAATGTCCAAGAGTGTTGCACTAACCGCATTGTTTGCAGTTTTGTTCGAGTAAAAGCTTGCTGTTATCAGCAATGGCTAAGCACGCTATTGACTTTGTATTAGCACAGACACCACGATATTGCTGGCGATAATGTTACGATCATTGTTTATTTGTGAAGTGCGTGCCATATTGATGTGGAACAATTATGCTCCGTTCGCTGCGCGAAGTACAAAACATTGCAATACCTTGATACCTGAAACAACCGTGGCACATACGATCACCAAAATATCATGAGTATCTCATTATTTTCGTGGAAAACTCGTCTCGACCCAACTTTGGCTGGACACATGTATCCACCTAATTACCTATAGGCAGTGTGGCCAAGACAGAAATATTAGCTGTCAACAGCAAAGTTTTCAACAGTAAACGTGGTAACGTGACTACAAACACCTCGGATTTTCTCACTCGCTGCCATTTCACTCCCCTTGACATTCACGAGCCGGCTCAGACAGCTGTTCCGTCCCGCTGAGGCCCTCCCCCGCCGCGCCGCTCCCCCAGCTCTCGGTGCCTCCTCACCGGTCGATGACGTCACTGCCGGTGACGTCAGACCGACGGCGGCGGGCCGGCGCAGCCTTGGCGACCAGTCGGCGCGCGTCCAACGACGAGGCAGGTCATGAGCGGCGCACTGAGCGCCGTTGACCGCGAGCGAGCCGCGCACGAGACGTGAGCGTACCGTGAACGCGCCGTGAGTGAGCCGTGAGTGTGCCGTGAGTGTTCCGTGAGTGGACCGTGGGCGGGCGAGGTCCTGCGCCGGCCGGGGCCGGCCGTGACGTTGCGGCGATGAGTGTGCGCGATGCGAATCGGCGAGGGCTCGTCTGGCTGAGTGTGTGGTCTTTCCTGCTGGCCGGGGATGTAGCGCAAGGTGAGGAAGGGGGAGTTCGATGCGGGCGGCAGCTGGGGCCACACTTGACACGCCAGGTGCGGGCGGTCCCGACCGCGCCTGACGGTGGTGACTGATTTTCGTGATCCTTGGCTTGCATGTGCACCCGCAGACAGGAGCGTGGTGTACAGGAACACGGCAGGCAGGAACACCGGTCCCGGCTCAATGCAGTGTTCTCGTGCTTTTCGTGAGAAAACAGGGTGCCGGTACTACAGAATGTGCCACAGATGTTGACTTCCTCTACGGCGCCTTGCGTCAGCAAAAAACGAAAGCCTGGCTTTTCTCGGGGTTTTTGCGGCACGGTGCTGGCGTCGTGAATCCCATTGTGGCTCTTCTTCGCGACACGAAAGAAAGGGTCCTGCTGGCTAGATCCAAGCATGGTCCAGGGAAAGTATTACATCACAACGCATTGCGGGCCTCATGCCACCTCATGCGTCTCCAGCGTTAGCCAAGGCGAAGGTACTCAGAGACGTTGGCCATTGGCTAACGATCTGATGCGTCCGTGTTACGATACGCCTCACGGATCCTTTCGCTGACGGCCATGGACGCACTGCGCCGCGCCCATCAGCCTTGTCGCTACCTTGGGCCTCCTGGCCAGCCGGCTCGGGCCTCCTGACGCGTCTGCAGATGGCGGTCACAGCGGAACCACAATCGGCTTATGTTGCCTCCGCGCGTTGGGAACCACAACCGTTGAAATCCGACGTTGGATGGGCTCAGAGACTGGTCGAGGTTCTTTATTCCAACGTGGTGATGTCACCATAAGAATCACAGGAGAGGTTCAGTCTTTTGGTAGCAGCTTGTTGCATGAGGATTATGAACAAACACCATCCGCCTCACGCATCGTGGTATGACTTGTCTCGTCCCTCGCGGCCGCAAGGAAGTCCACCAGCACGCCGAAGCATCAGCCGACCCGCAAATGGCACCATCACGGTTGAGTGTCTACGCCTGACGGTCTGGGCGGTGATTTCGCTTCATTAGAGGTCGTTCCGCACGTCGGAACGTCGGCGCACGTGCCCTCGGGCGACAACGGGACCCGGAGCGCGCGTCGTCCCCGCGCGTCGTGCCGCCATGGTGCTGCGTTCCGCTGCGCGATTGCAGTCGCCAGGTGACTGCACAAAGTGAATCGAAGCAGGGCGCTAGCACCAAAGCCGCCAGCGCACGCTGCGCGACGAGAATCTGCTGACGCCGATTACGGCCAATGCGTCTGTGGTGTTTTGTGCCGGAAGCAGACAGTGGAAAGCGTCCTCACTTCGGTCTCTAGAGGTGTCCGTTGTGACCAGCATCATTAGTGTCAAGCCGCTTGAAAAAGTCCACAGACCCGGAACTGTAGGGTTGTTAGCTCAGCAGTTTAGGCATTCATTGTAGAGTGGACACATCATCAGCAGTCGTTCAATAAACAGAGACAACGAAAACCGGGCTTCCATTCCGCTTCCTGCCGTGATGGCCCCGTAAAAACGCGCCGGACGAGCCGGAATAACGGCGCCCATGAATCCTGCGCGGCCGCGTCAGGCCGGGGCTCCATTTGCCGCCGCAGTTACGACCACGCAGCACGCTCTCCGCTGCCCGGGCCGGCAGCCGCGTTTTTCCGTCGCCAGCTGTATGATCGGCCGCGCCCGTGCCGCCGCCGCCGACACCACCGCCACCGGCGCCGCCGCCACCGCTGCCGCCCGCGCGCTATAAACCGCCAGCGCGCGTCTGAATACTGGCCGATTTGGGTCAGAGAAACGAACCGTTAGCGCGCGGCCGGCCGCCGCAGGTCCCGCCGGCCGGACGGGGGCGCGCCGGCCACGGTGACCTATGCAGATGACCGTCCACCTCGAGTCCAGCCAGCCTTTCAGCCGTGGCCGCCGGCGCGGCGCCACGACACGTCGGTTGCTCCGTAATTTGGGGGCAATCTCCTCGCTGTCGGAGATGGTTTATCGACCATTGTTCCGGTGCGATCCGTGGGATCCTGTTATTGATCTTCCTCGCCGGGGAAGGCCAATTTTCTCGACCCATGGCCGGCCTGGCGCCGGTTACGGGCGGCATGGGGCCTGGGTCAGACGAAATTCTTCCCTTCGGATAAGGACGCAAAGAGGCATGCAGTTAACCCGCAACAAAAAGAAAGCCACCTGAGAGATACAGATACGTTCGGGCCTACCGATGTCTATCGATGCACGACCCAGGTAAATTGGGCGAGAAAGTCTCAACAGTCAGCTGCCAACTACCTGCGCTGTTATCCCAACCCATTGTGACCCTCTCGTATAAAGATAGAATCACCATGAAGTGGTGTCGCCTGCGAATACTGCGAAGAGCTTTATTGCTTGCATCCTACCGGTATGTTCACTTATTAGCCTCTTTCCGGACCTGGCTGCACGCCAGGTCCGGCCAAGCCGGTTTCGACGGGTGCGAAGGCTCGTGATGCTGGCAATCATGCCGTCCTACACTCGCTGGTTGGTGTCCTTATACAGCATGGGACGTGACCCGGTGGGGCGCGTGCCGGCTACATCCCGGAAGTGTGTGGACAACGCTGGTTACCGCAGTCGGAATGTGTGACGGTGCGCTGGAGTCTGCCTCCGTGCAAGGGCGCTGCCGTATGATTACTGCACCGTTTACTCTAGTTTCATGGCATCCTTGCACGTGAATATTAAGATCGAGGAGTTCTCAGTTCACAGTGTCCAAGAGATCATCTCAATCGACGCTGTAAGAACGCCAGACGGTGGCCACTTACCCAGATGAAAAAGTCTCCAGGCATTTGACCTCTGTCGCGGCGGAAACCTTGCAGCAATATCAGCCAGATCTGCCCCCAGAAACCGTCTGGGACAGTTCAGCAATCTTTTCCGTGACCGACAACACTCCTCCGACCGGCGCCATGTCGCAGCAGCAGGCTGAGGGTCCGACAAAAACCGGAATTCAGCCACTTCACCCCGCGTCTGAAACCACACCGTGTGCAAGGCGTCGCCGTCCACCTGCTGGCAGTCTCAATGAGACGGCGTTCATCGTGCGTTTGGTTTAGCATCATGTTGGTGTAAGGGTGGTGCTCTTTGCCGCAGTTTCTATGCATGGGTGTGTTGTTCACACGGTTTCCTGCTGGGGAGACGTCGCCTTACGAGCAGGGTCGACAGCCCTCCAACCTCTCGTAAGACAGAGTCGGCGAGCATATTATTTTGTTCACTATGAATTTTTTTGGAAGGCTCCAAAACCTATGGCGTGTCTGCTGTACATATTTGGTCAGCGGCGGTGACGCGGTCAGGAAATCCAGCCATGACCACCAACGTGATGTAATCATCGGGAGCAGGCACCAGCTATGAAGGATCGGGTGTGGTCCGGAGTGATCGTGTCACAGGAGGCCTCTGTCACGAATGAAAGAAGGCCTCGATCATGTTGGGACCCTGGGAAAAAGGAATTCCAACCCAGTGCAGCAGACATATTAGTCATAGAGCTAAATTGTATGGTTTTCAAGGGCTCTTCAGCGGAATGACCTTGCTCCGACTAAAAGAAGGTCCAAATGATGTTGATTGCAGATCCACGTAGGGCAAGGGACGAGACCGTAATAACGTGAGGGTTTTGAGTGATGGAGAACCAAGATACGGCAGGGTGTCCCACCTCCTAATACTGAGTCCTTGTTGCGTTACGATTTCTCCTGTACTGCAGAACTGTTGGGTGGTTGATATCCGCGTTACTGCAGGGCACCCTCATGATAGCGGATATCGTTCTAATTGGTAAGGCAGGGAGTTGGCTCTCTTTGGGCTAACAGCAGGCCCTCTTTTGACTAACTGGAAGGTTTCCTCCCATGATTGGGAGCGGGTATCTGTCGCCGCTGTCGCAGCCTTGTTCTGATCGAGGGAAAGCCCGGTCATAGAGGGTATCTCTATGCTCACATGGATACATACCTTATATAGACATATTTCATACCTATGTGAGATGGTTTTGTGGGGCTATATAGACACTGGTACCGTGGGATCTTACCCGTGCTTGAGAGCGTTTTCACATTCGTCCCCGAGGCGGGAATACAGCATTCACCTGTACTATAGATAAGTCATTGATAACTTTGTATGTTAGAAAAGTGGCTAAATTCACCGTTTTTGATGTTTCTTACAAACTGGCAACGCCACAGCGCTAAAAAAGTACCACGTACATGCGTCTCAAAAATGTGATATCATGACATTCTATACGGGATATTCATGCTCAGATATATCCGTCCCCTTGAGGTCTTCCACGACCCCCCCCCCCCTCCCTCCCCACCCTCTTTTGGTATATTGGTCTAGCAAAAATTATTCAGCGGAGACCATGCAAAGCATGTCTGTTTACCCACCGATAAGTTCGTGACGTCACCTATGGTTTACCGTCCTTGGGCCCGTCCCGTTATAGGCTTGCCACGGCTTTCCGAGCCCATCGCATTGCTTCTGGCCAGGCAGCAGTCAGTCACGTGACCACCCGTTGCCGGGCGCCGGACCGTCGTCATGGCTACCTGGCGTGCAGTAAGGGCACATGCGCCCTGTTCCGCTTCGGCTGCCGTGCCCCAGTTGCACGCGCCGCCGCCGGGAAGGCCCGCGGCCGCCGCCGGCTGCCCGGAAGTCCACCGCCGGTCACGTGGTCTGGAAACGCGGGAAACGGCGGGTTGTTCCGGCTGGCCGCGCCCGAGGCCTTCATTGTCTCATGCCTTGGCTTGACTGGACTTCGTCAGACCGATAGGCGGTGCCTGCATTCCAGCGGATGGTTTCTAGGACAGGATCACATGCGGGTTTGTTGACTGTGGGGCTTGGCGGTGCCAACTCGAGGGCCAGGCAAGCCTCAGTGAATGGAAGTTATCCAGATTCAACGCATATCATCTGTTGTCGATCGCTCTGATTGTACGGACGTACATCCTTTGTCAGTCTGAAGATGTACTCCGGTCAGTCTTACAATCCACTGCGGTCAAGACGCCAACAAATTAGCTGCACTGCAAGGTGCCAAATCTAATACATTCACCGAACGGTTTTTAATGCGCCAAGTGCTGCTCATTGGCTTGTGGAGTGCCTGGCCGCCAGCGGGGGGCGCCCATCACGGGTCAGTGGTGGCGCGCCGCCCACCCATGCTCCACACGAGTCACGTGACCGCCCGCGCCGCGCGCCACCGCCGTCACGTGACCGCCCGCAGCCCAACCATTTCTAGGTCAGAGGTCATCGGGGTCAGTGGAGCCGCGCGCCGAGGCGTCCGGCCACGAGCAGGCCACCGACCCGGCGCGTCGCTGCAGCGAAAGTTGACGAATGAGGCTTATCGCGTGCCGCCGGCAGCTGCCGCCGCGCCACTGCGGCGCCCCGAGGGTCAGCTGTTCTGGCTCGCCCAGCCGCCGTGTCGATGCGATCCGGGCTCGTGCGCCGGCTGTCGCGGGGGAAAGGTTATGTTTCCACCTTGCTGGGGGCGAACGGCAGATGGAGGGCTTCGCAGCAGCTGGGTGTGAAGCGGGCAGGGGTTGTTTGTTTTTGTGGCGGCGACTGTGTCGGCGTTGCGAAGCCGGTCCCCGCTCCCGCCGTGGCGACATCCGGTGACTTCTGGACCGGACTACACTCAATACGGTGGGAGTGAAAAAGGGTGACGAGCGTGTCAGCACAGACACGTGAGTGACGGGCTATCAAAACGACGTGACTCCTTTCAAAGGGCGTGTCTAAAGGAGAGGCATTGTCGCGTGGGGAGAAAGAGAGTGCAGCAGCACGCCAGCTGAGTGTGAGACGTGAACGACTGAATGCATTGTGTTTGTTCACATCGTGCGTCGGGAGCAGTTCGTTCTCTAAGCCTTGTCACCCTACCTTGCCAACAGCTGGTTGTCTGTTTGGCGCCGGCGGGCGTGTTACCGCACCAGCTGCAGCAGCGGCGTGTGTCTGCGGTCTGCAGGGCGTGAGCCTTGGTTCTGGCCGCTGCCCCGGTGCTCCTGATGTTTTAATTTAGGTTTGAGAATGAGGTCATAAAACGTGCGCGGCCTTTGGCTTTCCGGAACGTTACCATTTCACGCTATCTTGGGCTGTCCATGACGGCTTATTGGAAAGGAGTTATTTTAGCAAAGACCCCTTGTACACAGACCTCAGTTTTTGCGTTATGCTTGCTGCAGCGAACGTTTTGGAACGATTGCATTAGAATGCCCGAGGATGTCCTGCAGCGATTACCACTGGTCACTCTCAGCCTCTCTCTGGGATATGGCTGGGTGTGTCTATTACACATTTTAACAGCGGGCACACAAATAAGCTGTCAGAACTGTTCATAACTGCTGGGAGGTCCCAAAATATATGCACCAAGAGCGGCGGCCCGATGCCTTCTTCGGACTGGGCGTGTCTACTTCAGCGGTGGTTAATATGGTTACATTACGCTGCTCTTGCTAAATGGCAGCGAGTAGGCTCTTCTATGGTAACGCTGCTGCCCCAGCTAAACGGCATGTCAGTGGGCTGAAATAGGCACGCCCTGTGTATGATATGGCACGGACGTGGCTGGCGCGATAGGACGCAGCTGTTTCGCTGCCGAATCATGTGCGTACCTGCCTTTGAGCATGGACGGGAACGAAGAGCGTAGGATATCCCTTTATGAAGTTTTCATGGCTTTGCTGTCGGTGACGCATGCCACCTTTCTCAATAAAATTAAGGGGAATATGGGGCCGACTTTCATGAAGTCAGCATTCATGTGCACACTGGCGTTACCGGGTTATACGTGTTTTATTCGGACTGCGAAGTCAATATTTGTTACCTTCAGTTTGAAATCATTATTTTTGGCGGAGCTCTTCTATTGGACTCATCATGCAGTCTTTTTTGTTGAAAAAACTTCTGTATCTCCAACCACCTACAGTTAAATTTCAGCAAACTTTACAACCAAGATGGACTTATGATGTATTGTATTATGGCACAGTAAGATTTTAGGAAGCACAAGTGTTGATAACGTTTTTTGCAATCCAATGACGCCATTGCAATCCAGTGAAATCCTGCACACTAATGTTTCGACGCCACCAACCAGATCATCTACCATGTACTGCAGCTGACTTGTTCCAGGGCCTTCCCCAAATCTGTCCTGTGACTGGATTCGGGCTCAAGTGCACTGGTGGTGGCTTGCCATGTTTGGAAGTGGGTTTGGGCTCTTTTTTTAGGTTTTGAAAGCCATTCCAAAATGATTGTTCCAGTGTGTCCCCCTGCGTAGCACCTACGCACACACGCATACTCTTATGCACCTTCTGCCATGTGCAGTGAAAAGTATCCTCGGGAAGTCTTTGTGGAGGCTGGATGTTAAGGTGTCTAAGATGGCACTCCCTCTTTTGACAACTGCATTATTGAATGCTTTTTTTAGTCATTTTGCATCCGTAAAAGACAGCCGATGTCATCTTCTTCGCTACGCGACCCATGACAGTTGTCTGGGGATTCCTGGCTCTTGCCAGCGGCTGCTGCAGCAATAATTTGTGTAGAAGTCAAGAATTCCAGCTGCATGCTATTTTGACAAAGCCTCCATAAGACTACAGTTCAGTAGCACATTTTTGGCAGCTAGCATTCCGCATCTGGGCAAAAGCTTTCATTTTTATGCATGCATGTCTCCTAACAATTGTTCGATTTCTTCTCTGCTTGCTCATACAAGCACCATCCATTTTATAGTGGTCACGTGGCAGCATCTGTGAGGTGTTGCAAATCGCTTGTTTTCCTCATCTGATAGTGTCACGGATAAGTCAGTCTGTCAAGCGTTTCACGCTTTCTTACACTGCTTTGGGACAATTACCTCTGTGAAAATCGCTAGCCCGCCTGTATCTACAAAGTATAATCGATTTCGGTCGCCTGGAAACTGCGCCGAAGCGAAGGCATTTCCGGCCCTACTCTGCAGCTGCCCCTCAGAGTTGCCCGTCACTGTCGCAGAATCACCACGCAGGCCAGATCAACGCATTAGCCCGAGTCCGAGTCCCTGTCAGTCCGAGAGAGCAACCCAAGATGCTTGCCAGCAATTCCAGCCAGTGGCTGAGGTCACCCAGCCGAAGCGGCGCGATGGCCCGATGATCAGTCAGGGTCGGAGTCAATCCGGGGTCCCGACCCGAGGCCAGAGAGCCAGACCGGGCGGCTCGGCGACTCCACAGCCATCAGTCTCCCATGAGTGGGCCGCCACGCCGCCTTGTTACGCGTGTTCCCGCGACAGGGAAACCGGCGCGCGCGCCGCCGAGCCGGGTCCTGGGAGTCGAGCCGCGCCACCGAGCCGGGTCCTGGGAGTCGAGCCGCGCCGCCGAGCCGGGTCCTGGGAGTCGAGCCGCGCCACCGAGCCGGGTCCTGGGAGTCGAGCCGCGCCACCGAGCCGGGTCCTGGGAGTCGAGCCGCGCTCGGCGGAGAAGAAAGCGCCGCCTTCACACCCAAGATGGCTGGCTGGCGCCGCGCGCCCGCCGCCCGCAATGCCGACAGGAAACCGCCGGTCGACGCGGTCAAGAGGGATTTCTTTTTGTTGAAAGCGCCGCCGGTGCCAAGAAGCGACCACGCGGAGAAACGGGCCGGCATCTGCGGTGGTCGGGGTCGGCGGCGCCGACCACTCACCGCGACGGCGGCCGCACAGCCGCCTCCGAGAGATTCGACAGCCCGCAGTCAGGGAGATGGCTCACAGCTGTGTAGCAGCTGCCAGATGCGATACAGTGCGTCGCAGCTGCGTTGCTCTTAGCGCGCATTACTGAATAAGGCATGCTCAGAATCGTGTGACTTTAGTGCCGCATAAAAAAGGTAGAAGATCCCGTCTTTTCCTCACTTGCTGTTGGCTTTATTTTCTTGATGTCAGAAATGGCCGGTGCGTGGTGCTCCTTCTGAATCATCTGTAGATACTAGAAGGCAGAGAACCCGTAACCGAGAACATCGACTCTGAGTGGTGGGACGCCACGTTCTTTATGCACTATGCCAATGCTGCTTCTTCAGATGGTCGTCCCGTGACGCCATGGCAGGCACAGAACGTGACGTACCCCACAATCGGCACCAACCAACGTCCTAGTGCACGCCGTTGACACACGGATACAACCATGCGCCTCCAGCCAACTTCTGGGCATCGGACAGCTCGTCGGACAGAGCCCTCTGCCTCTGAGATGGCGCTCCGGAGCTGCGGGTCCGCCCGGGGACCCGGACCGCTCGTGGCTCCTCAAAGACCGCCGAGGACTAGCCGCGCGACAGATGCGTCGGCTAACGGCTGAGCCCCCGGCAGCCATGTGTTCGATTAATGGATATGCAGCACAGGCGCTGTGGCGGCTAATGCGTCCGCCTCCTCGCGACGGGGCAGCTGTTCCAGCGCCAAGCCGGTGCCTCCAGAAGACGGGCGCCGTAGCCATGTCGATCAGTCAAACGGCAGTCGAACGACAACTTTTGCAACGACAACTTTTGCGTCTGCCGCCGCCCGCCTATACTTCAGAACTTTCCCGAGTGTAACATCAACTGGGTCAGCTAGGTGCGGCTGGGTGAGAGCGCCCACCGTGTCAGCTATCTGTCTGCCGCACCATTGGCGACAAGAGATATGCTGTCTATTTGACGGGCGCGTGTGCTCCGCAGGGTGTGTCCGCATCCGGCGGTCAGAGGTATGCTGTCTATTTGACGGGCGCGTGTGCTCGGCAGGTGTGTGTCCGCATCCGGCGGTCAGACGTATGCCGTCTGTTTGACGGGCACGTGTGCTCCGCAGGTGCGTGTCCGCATCCGGCGGTCAGACGTATGCCGTCTGTTTGACGGGCGCGTGTGCTCCGCAGGTGCGTGTCCGCATCCGGCGGTCAACCTGAACAGTCGGGTCGAGCTGAGCACCAAGGACTTGGCTGAGAACACCATCGCCACGTACCAGTGTGACGCCGGCTTCCTGCAGCTCGGGTAAGCGCGTCACGGCTGGCGCGACCTCCGCCTGCCCCCTCCCCCCCCCCCGCGCTCCGTCCCCACACCTCACCGTTCGGCGTCCAGCTCAGTGTTGTGGAGACCGGTCACCCTGTTGACATCGGGTGCACCCGTGTCGCGGGCCAGCATTCAGTGTGGCTTTATGGTGGTAGTTCAACAATTTCTGCTCGGTTTCTGCTGCTCAGGTTGGCATTGCAGACTTCGTGAAATATATTTTGTGGTGCCTACAAGAGGAAAAAGAGGAAAGCTTTGATTCATGTTAGACTAGAACTATGATGGTTGGTATGACTATGAAAGGCTATGCCTTTTGGAACACCTGTCATCACCGAAACTAGCACCGCGTGTGCAGTTTGTCAAAAGTCGTCGTACTGGGATAACCAGGCTCATCAGTACCTTTGTTATGCCCATGGGGACACTTGTACATATGGACACCATGCATACAATACAAGAAGTGCCCCTTTCGGTTGTTTTGGGATAGTCAAGTACTGCACCTCGGTTGGGAGATAAAGCTCGCGTTTGAAGGTAGCGGTGCAGTGCAGTGTATCCCTCCGTTTATCGCATTGATACAATTCTAAAACGAGGTAAGTACTAAGCGATCTTGCCTATTTCCTTCCCTTGAGCGTTCATACCTGCCCATAATCCATGAGACCGCCAGTGTTCACAGCTTCCAGACCCCGTGATGTTGAGTGCCCGATGTGACCTTGCATTTCGCCTGCTCTGGAGCGAGATCGCTATCAGTGGGTCCGAGCAGCAGCTAGCGTGATTTGCAGTGCAATACACAGTAAAAAACGACTGCCGTCCACCTCACGAACTTGGAAAGTGGTCACTTTTATCTGCTACTTGCAGACATTCGTTTCTGCTTGAACTCCCGCCGGAAATCCATCAATAACACTGCAATGACATTTGAAGGGGCCTTAATAGTTGCGTGTATTATGAATGGAATGCACTTGATACCGAAAGCGTTATTGATTGGCATTGTGGTGGGCAAAAGGTGAGTGTGTGCAACCGCGTTTTATTCACCACCGATGCACCGAGGGGTTTGACCGCACGCAGTCTGATCGGTGTCGGTTCTGACAGAAAGTTATGATATCGTTCTTCAAATACATAGTCTTCCTAATCAGGCTGTCTAAATTTAATGCAAATTGCAACGTTTATATATGCTTCGTTTAGTATGGAATCCATTTCTTACAGTTAGACAAACGACCTAAAAATTATTGGATTACCTGCCATAGATTGGCTTTAGACTAAAATAACTTTTGGACGCGGATTTAAGGTTTCAGGTGTAAAATCAGCACCAGACTTCAACGTCCACGACTGCTACGCATGGCACGTGCTTCTACCAATCTGTGGGTCACTAAAATTAGTTCAGAAAACGCAGATCAAAACAAGGGCCTAAAAGTAAAAGCCACGGCGCATTTCGATGCGAAACGAAAGCTCGATGCACCGCAAAGTAACAAAAACATGGGCCCTGGCACAGAGGGAGGACATGTCTTTCTTCTACTTTTCCAGAACGTGACATTACGTATATGTCGTGGCATGGAAAGGAGCTTTTTCAAAAGCTTTGATGCCCCCTCCACGTCGCCAATATCTCATTCAAGGGCGAATCTGTGGGAGAAAAGGCGCTGTACCATTAACACGACGTCGTCAGTAGTCCTGTCGTTACGCGTCGAGCGCACGCCATGGGAACTGTGACCAGTCCGGTACAAAGTCGCTGCACCCCACCCCTCATACAGCCTCTCCCGCCCCACTGAATGGCGCGTGCGGCATTATCAGCGCGCCGAGACGTTCCCGGCGCGCCGGCGACCGTGTCGACACGTCACGGCGCCGCGACAGGACCCGTGACGCGTGCCGCCCGGCCGGGAGCGGCCGTGATTCGGAACGGTGCTTAGCCGTGAACCGTGAGTCAGGTGGCGGCCCCCGGCGGCCTCGCGCGGAGGGCCCGCCCACACGGGCGGCCACACCCGTGAATGAACGTCGGCAGGAGCGCCGCCAGGGAGGGCCTGGGGGAAGCCGACTCTGTAGGAATATGCTTGGGTCCCTGGCGTCGAAGACCAATGTATTGTATCAATCATTTTGCACCAAAACAAAGGATTTGGTCTCTTCCCCTCTCCAGTATTAGGAGCCCTGCCCTGGTAGCTGGTTGGCTCCGCAAAGCGCCAATTACTGCGCGCCCCTGCGCCCCTTCACGGTAGCGCTGTGAGGCGACTTTGAGTGGCTATCGTCAAGCTGAACCAGCACAGGCTGGATGTCGTTGGGTTATCAGCGGGTCGGTAGCAGATTTATTTTAGGAATGGGATGTTTTGTGCTTTCGGCAAGCTCAGTGATGGAACCCTGGACTTCAGATCAGAAAAGAGGACGTTCAAAAACTGTGATTTGTGGGCTTTCCAATGAAACCGTGTTCCTGGTGGATGACTGCGGGGGTTCATGACAGTTCGAGTAAACGCGTATTCATCGCACTCTAAGGCTGTACTCACCGCTCGCATGGCATCCTTCGCCACGATCTTTACAACTGGCGGCGGTCCCGACCGCAGTCGGCAGAAGCCCACCGCCGGCGCGTCCCTCGCGGCAGATCCGCTCATGTCAGGGGAGCTTTGCGGGAGACACGAGCGGCCCGCTAATCCGTACAGCACGCCGCTCTGTGACAAAACCCGCTGGTCGGGCTCAGCACGACGGTGGGGAGCGTCATTTGCACCGAGCCAGGCCTTGACCGAGCCGCTGCAGCCCGTCGCCGTGTGCCGGCGCGTCGGTCCGTCGTCCCGTCATGCTACGCGGCCGAAGACGCTGAAAAATGCGCGATGGTCCACCGTCTGTCCGGAGTTTTACGGTGCTGCTGCATTGTCGTGGTATACTCGCATGTGGCCGGTGATGTTTTCGTCGGTGGACTGCTTTGTGCGTTGAGAACGGGTCGTTTATTTCGCATGTGACTACGCAGGTGAAATCCACGGACGGGCCCTTAGTGCGTGTGACTTTTTCCTACGGCCGCAAATTACTGGAGCAAACGTCACGCCTTTCTCCTACCACGCAGCAAACGGTGCACCCTGCGGACCATGTTGGGGGTGGTGCGTGATTCATCAGATATTCAGAGCTGATGAATAATTATCCAATGGAAAGTGGCCTTGGCTGTGTGGAGCAGACCAGCCCGCAAGCAGCGAGCGCGCGTGAACAGCTCTTTTCCTCCAGCTCCTTCAACCCGAGAATGCTGATACCGGCTGATGGGAGAACGGGAGAGCACCGATATGGCTCCAGCAAGTTGCCACGGATCCTAAGGGCGGCACGATGAAACGCAGCAGCAGCACATGCCATTTTGTCCGGAGCCTGGCCGCGTCTGTCAGGACCTTGTTAACCGCTGTATGACATGACCACGTGACTTACCACCGGTGCGTGACGGTGGCACATGCCACTGTGGCCCGGCTGTCAGCAGTCGAGTTAGGCTGGCAGCTTAATGACCGTGACGGACGAATGTCGTCGTGATAACGCCGCCACTTTGAAGCTGTTGCGTAATGTTGCGTGGCGTCCGGCGATGGCTAATGCGCCGGCCTGCGAGCTGTGCTCGGTGTTGACGTGTTATTTCTGTCAGCCGTTAAATGCGGTGCTGCCCATCCATGACAGACGCAACACCGGTGCTTGCAGTCTCAAAGCCATGAAAATCTTGATGAACCACGCAGCTACCTTGATACTGCAGGCTAATCGCCTCTGTTTCTTTCTCCCATGCCCTGCAAGCAAACCAGTCATTTGGAGATTCTCCGAGGCACAAACAGTCTGCTAAATCACACCAATGACCTCGCCGCCGCCACCCTTGCTGGTCGGGAGCATGGCCGCCATGTTTGTCACGCGCGCGCTGACATTGGGACGCCGCGAACAACATGGCTGCTGGCACCGAGCCAAGACAGCTCGTCACGAGGTTGCCGCGCGTCGCACCGCCGCGCGGTGATCTCCGTCGGACAGCGCCGCTGAAGCTGCGGCTGTGGAGTTATACCAGACGGAGCGTGGCCGGCGTCACTCGTCCCCTGAAACGCAGGTCTGCCGGCGCGAACGTCCCGTGCCTGTCGTTACATTTTCCCGGAAATGGGTAATCTCATGGTGGCAGCGCCGAGGAATCTCACGCTGGCCACGCCGACCTCGCCGCACAGTCCAGTGCAAGGCCCCATATACCGCCCGGTGACGACGTGCATGCGCCGCTGGGAACCGGGCCGGCCTCGCTTCCGCCGGCGCGATGACTTCCGACAGCTAGCCTGAGGACGTCCGGTCCGGCCGGGTCCGGCTGGTCCGGTCCGACGGTCCGGTCCGACTGCGCGCCGGTTGTGGTCTGCAGCGGACCGGCTGGCGACGGCCGCGAACGGGTCGTGTGTGCGGGAAGAGCCGGTGGCTGGTCTCAAGCAGTAGTAGACGGACGTGCCCGCAAGTCCCTGGCCGGCATCGGTACAGTAACCTGTGGCTTTAACATTGGGAAAGGCTGTCAAATACCATGATAATCTCAGGACGAATTGGACCAACTGGCTATAACTGAATCTATCACCTTGGTCTAGCCATTTCGAAACGACTTTTCCGACCAAGACCCGGATGCAGCCAAACTTCTAAAATTTGCGGTGAACTATTGGTGCGGTTTTGCGGCCGTTATTGTGCACCCATTACCGTCATCAAGCGTTGCACGTGGCCTGGTCTTAGGGCGTTCCACAGAGCCACTGCTGTGCAGCATGGCCGTAGCCTTCCGGCGCCAGCTCGGCCTCTGGACTCGTGGCGGGCCGCGATGGAGCACGCATGACTGGCGGGGCTGTTCCGCTTCACTGCGGCTGACCTGCTCTGGTTTGGACAGGTCATCAGGGGGAGACGGGACGGCTCGCCTTTTCCTCCCTGCCTCAAGGAAATCCGTAGCTGCCCATAGCTTTTGGGTGAATGCTTCTTCCCGCACTATCCTGTTAAATTATCCTTAAGATTTCCGGCAACTCACCCTGCATCGCTCACCACGACCAGCTGGACCG